AGGCACTTCCGAGAAGTTCCTGTTCGCAAACCTGCTAGTTTAAGCTCGCAAGTGTAGCCAAATCACAATTTTTATAACAGGTTAACAACCTACTCCACCAGCCTGTTACAATTAAAATAAAGTTTCTACAGTAAAGGTTTGAATGTTGGCTTTATAGTACCTGGTTGTGTCCCTTTATAGTACCTGGTTGTGTCCCTTTGTAGTACCCGGTTATGTCCCTTCATAGTATCTGGTTGTGTCCCTTTATAGTACCTGGTTGTGTCCTTTTATAGTACCTGGTTGTGTCCCTTTGTAGTACCCGGTTATGTCCCTTCATAGTATCTGGTTGTGTCCCTTTATAGTACCTGGTTAATAAAGTACAAGTCTTTATTTACAAAGCGGCAGGGCACTCGTCAATAGTGTTTTACAACACACAAAAACTCTGAGGCTCCATGGACGACCCCAGGAGAAATGTAAAACACACGCGCTCGTCATCGACTGAGTTTGAAACAGACCTTAGAAATTTTAGACAAGTTACACATACACATACTGAAAGACATATAAGCGGAGAAAGATATGACAGACAGACAGATAGCTGGACAGACAGACAGACGGACAGATAGATCGTCAAGGGAAGACTCACTTTAGTGTCGGCACACTTTGTCAGTCCCAGCTCCTTGATGACGTTGTCCACTCGCTCGCCTCTCTCCGCCGAGCTGACGGTCGTGGGCAACCGTAGAGAGGCAGAGAAGTGAAAGTTCTCTTCACAGTCAGCGTGCCCATAACGATATCGTCCTGCAGGCGACAGCAACATGGAAGCTCACTTTTAGAGTGCCAACAATGATAAAACAGTTTACTTATAATAGCGATTTTTATATATATATATATATATATATATATATATATATATATATATATATATATATATATATATATATATATATATAAACACACACACCACATACACACACCATTGGAGAGAGAAACCCATTCATACACTTAGAGAGAGACACCCATGCACACACACTTCTCCTTCTTCTTATTCTTCCTCTTCTTCTTCTTCTTCTTCTTCTTCTTCTTCTTCTTCTTCTTCTTCTTTCTTCTTCTTCTTCTTCTTCTTCTTATTATTATTATTATTATTATTATTATTATTATTATTATTATTATTATTATTATTATTATTATTATGAGTATTATTATGAGTAATATTATTATTATACGTCTTCTTCTAATCCATTTATGCTTTTTAAGTCATGTCTATCCACACCTTCTGTTCCCTGTACATTCAATCAGTTCTGACACATATGTTCTTCCATGCCGTGTCAAACAGCCCAGCACCACCTTTGTCCATATAATCCCCTTCTTCCGAGTTCACCCTATAAAAAAGCGATTAGTACCATGTGTTGTGGTTAACAGTTAGGCTGGGATATCTGCACTTTTCAGTTAAACATTAGTCGGTAGTATTTTACTTCCTTACCGGGAGGAATAAACCAACAAATGCCTGCAGAAGTCGGATGTGTCGGCCGAAAGCCGAAATATCGCAGCCATGTTGTAAACGGCAGAGACAGGCAATGCAGTGGACACCACAAGGACAGCGAGGAAGAGGCAGACCTATAGTTACTTGCAGGCAAACCTTTGAGGCAGAAGTCAAGGCTACGCGAAGTACAAAACTGGAGATAGAAAGGATGGCTCAGGATCGAATTAAGTGGCGACAGTTTGTCTTTGCCTTGGGTGCGTCTGGGGGCGATAAGGATTGATTGATTGTTGTAAACGGACACAGAGCAGTTACATCTTTGGATGAGCCCAGAAGAAGACAAAGAACTATTTTACTTCCTGCTTGTTAATGATTAGAAGGTCCCACCACCACCCACCCACTTCTTCTTCTGGCTGCTCCATTGCGGTGTGGCCACACTGAGATTACAAAATCTGGTACTTTTGTTGTTGTTGTATTTCCACGTTCCTTGTCAGTGGTTTCTTTTTCGAGGCGGGGCAGGAAAAGGGGGGGGGGGGCGGTCACAGCAAAAGAACGTAGAATACAAAAATATCCCAGTGTCGATACTCACAAACAGTCACGCCTTCAGCTCTTCCCCCTGCAGTACTTCTTATTTCCACACCGGCGTCTGGGGTGCCTTAAACAGACTTACCACAACACAACCTCACACAAACATTACATGCGGCGAGCGAACACCGAACGAAGCCCCCTCATAACACTTTCACGACATAGGACAGGCCGTCGGACATCCACGGCATGAATGGGAGGGGAAGGAACTCTCCCGCTATGGCGACATGCATACAGGCTTACGATGAGTACCCAAAATCTAAATCTAGATGGCAAGACATCAGGATGACTCGACGATACCCTTTCAATCTACAAAGAACACAACATTATTCAAGTAATGTTGTGTTACATACAACGACGTCAACTTTGGAATTAAACATGATAAAATTATGTTGTAGACAATGACAGCGACTTAAGAATTGGAATTATAAAAATAATGTTAGGTTTTGAAAGAAGACGTTCCCGTGAACGCTCCGCGGCTTAAAGTAATTGTGGGTGATGATGATGCGCGTGGAAAGAGAGGGAATGTACCCACTGTACTCCTAGAACCATGTCCTCAAAGGCGACTAGCTATGGGTGTTTTCTTCAAAGTCGGAGTGCATTTTTCTAAGAGACAAGGAACCAACAAAACTAACAATATGCATACCATAAGTCGCATCTGTAAAACGGATTTGCACGCAAACTCAAGTTCTGGAACAAGACCAAAGTCCAGAAGTGGACGAACAGCAACGAAATTCTGCAAAAGAGCGTGAGAAAGAAGAATGAGAATAAGAAGAAAGAATTACCTGGACCACGTATCCCACCATGCACTTGAAGTTATCTGGTACAGGTTTTCCGTCGAGAAGAAGTTGACCGGACAGTCCTAAAGGATCCTTACGACATGCTAAAATATCCAACAATCTGCAATACAGAATATAATTATTTCAATGTTATACGTTTTTCCAGGAGTTGTACATCAAAGGGTGCATAATTATTATTATTTACTTAAATAAAGCTTAGGCCATTTAACCCACCCCCCTCCCCCTTCCTTTTTAAATTTGAAACAGTGCTTAGACGCCCTTCAGTACTTTCTTTGTGTCGGCGCCAATATTTCCCATATAATTCTAAGCAGCTATATTTATATACCAATCAGCAATCGATGAAAGATGCATCTTTTCAAATCTGATTGAATGTGAATCGAACCCAAAAAACTTTTAATGGACAGGCAAGCGTCAAATCACAGCGTTACTAGGCCTTCTGATAACGAAACTGCTTGCTGCGTGGATTTGTATCATGGTACGGGGCGTCGCAGGTCAACCCAGCCTAAAATGGGTATCAGGATGGTCTGTCCAAGTAAATACAACCGGAGTTATGCTGACAACATTACCCACCGAGTGCTGATTGTCTGTAAAAATATGGGCGCTCTTCCCCTATGCCCGATACGCCTAAAGGCATGGAAAGGGATCTTTACTTTCCTTTTTTTTTTACAGGTTCTTTGCCGTACAATGATCCCTCTCTATCTCTTTTTCTATGTGTCTTCCTGGGTATCTGTCTGTCTGTCTGTCTGTCTGTCTGTCTGTCTGTCTGTCTGTCTGTCTGTCTGTCTGCCGGTCTGCCTGTCTGTCTGTCTGTCTGCCTGTCTGTCTGCCTGTCTGTCTGTCTGTCTGTCTGTCTGTCTGTCTGTCTGTCTGTCTGTCTGTCTGTCTGTCTGTCTGTCTGTCTGTCTGTCTGTCTGTCTGTCTGTCTGTCTGTCTGTCTGTCTGTCTGTCTGTCTGTCTGTCTGTCTGTCTGTCTGTCTGTCTGTCTGTCTGTCTGACTGCCTGTCAGTCTGTCTGTCTGTCTGTCTGTCTATCTGTCTGTCTGTCTGTCTGTCTGTCTGTCTGTCTGTCTGTCTGTCTGTCTGTCTGTCTGTCTGTCTGTCTGTCTGTCTGTCTGTCTGTCTGTCTGTCTGTCTGTCTGTCTGTCTGTCTGTCTGTCTGTCTGTCTGTCGGTCTGCCTGTCAGTCTGTCTGTCTGTCTGTCTGTCTGACTGCCTGTCAGGCTGCATGTCTGTCTGTCTGTCTGTCTGTCTGTCTGTCTGTCTGTCTGTCTGTCTGTCTGTCTGTCTGTCTGTCTGTCTGTCTGTCTGTCTGTCTGTCTGTCTGTCTGTCTGTCTGTCTGTCTGTCTGTCTGTCTGTCTGTCTGTCTGTCTGTCTGTCTGTCTGTCTGTCTGTCTGTCTGGCTGGCTGTCTGTCTGTCTGCCTGACTGCATGTTTGTCTGTCTGTCTGTCTGTCTGTCTGTCTGTCTGTCTGTCTGTCTGTCTGTCTGTCTGTCTGTCTGTCTGTCTGTCTGTCTGTCTGTCTGTCTGTCTGTCTGTCTGTCTGTCTGTCTGTCTGTCTGTCTGTCTGTCTGTCTGCCGGTCTGCCGGTCTGCCTGTCAGTCTGTCTGTCTGTCTGTCTGTCTGACTGCCTGTCAGTCTGTCTGTCTGTCTGTCTGTCTGTCTGTCTGTCTGTCTGTCTGTCTGTCTGTCTGTCTGTCTGTCTGTCTGTCTGTCTGTCTGTCTGTCTGTCTGTCTGTCTGTCTGTCTGTCTGCCGGTCTGCCGGTCTGCCTGTCAGTCTGTCTGTCTGTCAGTCTGACTGCCTGCCTGTCTGTCTGTCTGTCTGTCTGTCTGTCTGTCTGTCTGTCTGTCTGTCTGTCTGTCTGTCTGTCTGTCTGTCTGTCTGTCTGTCTGTCTGTCTGTCTGTCAGGCTGCATGTCTGTCTGTCTGTCTGTCTGTACTGTCTGTCTGTCTGTCTGTCTGTCTGTCTGTCTGTCTGTCTGTCTGTCTGTCTGTCTGTCTGTCTGTCTGTCTGTCTGTCTGTCTGTCTTCATGTTTGTCTGTCTGTCTGTTGGTCGGACGGTGGAACTCAGTAGTCCCAGCCTTAGTAATGCTACCCGGCCCTACTGTAGGAGTACATTGCAGTAAATTATTAGACACAAAATGTGACCTGATAAGATACTCACGTAGATTTGCCGCAGCCTGTGGGACCCATGATTGCACTTAACCCCTCTTTGAAAATGCCTCTGGGTTTAGAAGAGAGATGAACAGTATATAAGACAATGCTGAATAAAGAATTGACATCATAGAACTTGGACCATCAGTACTGGAACTCGGCGCTGGCTGACATTACCATAAGCGCTCCATCCTCATCTTCAGCAGTAAGCGCAGATTTCCAATTCCGATAGTTACTGATTTTGCACTTGTTTGATTTTTTCCTGTGAGATGTTGGAACACGAAACTGTTAGTACCCCCCCCCCCCCCCCCCAGACCCCCGCCCATATACACACTGGTAGTGTCCAGAGCCCCGTGGTCTTTACTCAAAGTTAGATGAGTGTTCAACGATACCGTTGATATCGCGTGTTGTATATTTCAGCATGCCAGTGCTTTGAACGCTCCAAAAACAGGAAGCGATTGTTTCTAGTACAACAATCTTAGAGAGTGCTGCAACCTATAATACAGGCATTTTCTTTCTCGGAATGAAAACGTAGCTTTCAGGAAAGTCGAGCAGCCCAACAAACTTGTGAATGAAAAGTGAACGACTCTATTTGGGGAGACTAACGTGAACCTAACAAGCTTTTTCTTCTTTTTCTTGTTCTCCTTCTTCTTCTTCTTCTTCTTCTTCTTCTTCTTCTTCTTCTTCTTCTTCTTCTTCTTCTTCTTCTTCTTCTTCTTTCTTCTTCTTCTCTTCTTTTTCTTCTTCTTCTTCTTCTTCTTCTTCTTCTTTTTCTTCTTCTTCTTCTTCTTCTTCTTCTTCTTCTTCTTCTTCTTCTTCTTCTTCTTCTTCTTCTTCTTCTTCTTCTTCTCTTCATTTTCTTCTTCTTCTTCTTCTTCTTCTTCTTCTTCTTCTCTTCTTCTTCTTCTTCTTCTTCTTCTTCTTCTTCTTTCTTCCTTTTCTTCTTCTTCTTCTTCTTCTTCTTTTTTCTCTCTTCTTTTCTTCATTTTCTTCTTCTTCTTCTTCTTCTCTTCTTCTTCTTCTTCTTCTTCTTCTTCTTCTTTCTTCTTCTTCTTCTTCTTCTTCTTCTTCTTCTTCTTCTTTTTCTTCTTCTTCTTCTTCTTCTTCTTCTTCTTCTTCTTCTTCTTCTTCTTCTTCTTCTTTTCTTCTTTCTCTTCTTTTTCTTCTTCTTCTTCTTTTTTTTTTTCTTCTTCTTCTTCTTCTTCTTCTATTTTTCTCCTTTTTCTTCTTTTCTCTACTCCTGGAATGGCAATCGGCGAGTTTCTTTAACCAGAACGTGAAGAGAGCGATACGTTCTGCAAAGGGCCTGCTGCGTGATGATGATGATGAGGAACCGGGATGTCAGCATAACAATGAACGCCTTTACTTTTCAGGACATTTTGTGGTTTGCAGTGTAGACTGGGTCGACATATGAGCCTTTGGTGATTCTTTATCGAAGCGGAATCGAGCTGAAGATTTTCGTACCACCTGGCAATCGTCAAACCACTAAGCTGACAAGGTTACATTAAAGATAAGGAGAAAGAAGAAGATGAAGAGAAAGAAGATGATGATGATGATGATGATGGATAAAAATAATGATGATGATAACAATTATAGTGGGTTTTGTGATAGTGGTTGTGTAGTAATGTTAATTAGTGGTAGTGACCGAAGTACAACGATAATTCGGCTGTTGTAAGTGTATGCTCAATATTACAAATATAGTAAGCCAGTTTGTCAACGTCTTCTTCTCTTTCTCCAGCTGTCGTCGTCGTTTAAATCAGCGACCGACACATTGTGGTATGGTTTACAGCAAGGCTGTGATATCTTGAACTTGACACATACATAGTGTGTGTTCAAGATTACAAATAAGTAAAACACTTCAGCAGCGTTTTTGATCGTCTCCAATCGTTCTAGTCCTTCCTCCTTCTGTGTTCGCTCACAGAAGGACGGTTGACCGGCTGTGGTGCGGTTCACAGCAAGCGCGTGATATCTACAGCTTTTGGCAAATAACATCGATCGAATGGCGCCCTTTATGATGTGTTTGTTGGAGGGAGGGGGGGGGGGCAGTAAGTCTAATATCCTCCCCCCCCCCTTTTTTTAAATGGGGCCTTGGAACAGACATGGGAGGCGACAGCAATACTGGCTTGTTTAGCGTTGCCGGTTGGTAAATTAGGTGTTGATAGCAACATGCCAGCGAAATACAGCAACAAAACTGCATCCGGTTGTTAGGTCAAAGGTTATACCGTCCTCTTTAGATTTAGGTGGGTCTGGCTCGTCACAGACTGAGTGTTGACTGCTGCCGATTCCCTTCTTCTTCTTCTTCTCCTCTTTGTTTCTTCGCGTTCACCGGCTGAAAACTCCAGCGGAAAGTTCAGGTTTTTCGTCCACTTCTGGACCGTGGTCTTGGTCTAGAACGTGAGTTTTGCGTGCACGAACGTTTTACAAATCTGGCTTTTTGTACCAACTGTTCCTAGCCTCTCAGGCAGATGCACTCCTATTTCGAAATAAAAAAACACACTCCTAATTCGAAAAAAAACCACTCCAAATTAGTCTTCATCTACGACAGTGATTCCCAAAATGTACGCCGTGGCGCCCCGGGGAGCTGCGACCTCTTCACAGGGGCGCCGTCAATTTTTTGTATCTCTTACATACGAAAAGTCTTACTTTTACTTAGGTTAGGGCGCCGTGGAAAAAGTTTTATTGAAAAAAAGCCACCTCGACTAAAAACAGTTTGGAAAACACTGCTCTACGACATTCAGTTGTTGCTGTTGTTGTTGTTGTAGCAGCCGCAGCAGCAGCAGCAGCAGTAGTAGTAGTAGTAGTAGTAGTAGTAGTAGTAGTAGTAGTAGTAGTAGTAGTAGTAGTAGTAGTAGTAGTAGTAGTAGTAGTAGTAGGACTAGTAGTAGTAGTAGGAGGAGGAGGAGGAGGAGTAATTGTAGTGATGGTAGCAGCAGCAGTAGTAGCAGTAGTAGTAAAAGTTGTTGTTATACTAGTAGTTGCAGTATTAGCAGTGGTAGTAGAAGTTGTTTCTGTATTGCTATTGTACTAATAGTAGTTGTTTATGCTATTGTTGTTGCTATTGTTGATGGTGATGATGATATTATTGTTGCTCTTGTTTTCGCTGCTGCTGGGGCTGCTGTTGAAGTGGGAGGAGAAAGAGGATGGAGACACACAAGCCGCTAACAAATTTGACACAACTTGTACTCACGTGACATCATAAAGAATTTGCTTGTCAACCTTGGGCCCGCAGCACTTGGTCGGCACCTTAACCGTGTAGTTGATATTGTGGGCCGAGAGCACGGAGCCGGCTGATGGGCCTCCCACATGATTCAGCTCCGGCTCAACATCAACCACGGACACCAACTCCGGCTCTGATTTCTTTGGGGACGGAGATGTGTCCGCCAGGTTGATGTTTGGACTAAATGTAGCTTGCTGTCAGAAAATAGAATCACCTGAAATGTGAAGCAATGAACTGCATTAATACTCTAAGTGCTGTCTTTTTAGCGATTATGGACAATTATTATTGTTGTTGTTTGTACATCACAAGTGATGATTACCAGTCCTTTCATTCAGTGGTGACTTGGTTAGGTTTTGTGAGTGCGCAGATGGGTGATAGGGCCAATTCTAGCACTGAAAGTTCTTGAGCAGTGTAGACGAGGAACAGAATTATTATAGCACAAGCAGGTGCTGTTTTATGTAAGACTGACCTTAAAGGTTCTTTTTCCAGGCCTTTAGTCGTATAGGGCATATAGGGCTAGACCTACATTTTTATAGACCAATCGGTACAAGATGGGTGATGTGGTCAGCATCTTTACTTCCGGGGACTGCACCCGGTACCCACTTAAGGTTGGGTCGACCTGGGATCCGGGTCATTTTTGAAAAAAGTCCGGCTCCGCCAGGGAGCGAACCCAGACCTTCTGATCCGCGCGCGAGCGTCTAACCGCTACGCCATGGTGACTCATGTATCACTGACCTGCTGATGATAAAACATAATTACAGGGACTCAGGTGGAGATACTGTCCGGGATATGTAGGAGTGCGAGGGAATGAAAGGTCGGATGTGCATAGCTTCAGAAACACTCACAATGAACAAAGGAAACAATAAAAAAGACAATTCTAAAAGAAAAATACTTTTTAAAGAAGACAAGAAGCTAGATGAAACAACATTTGTAAAAATATGTGAACGTGCAAAAAGAAGTGGATCTCGCAAGGATGGACTATGAGATAAAAAGAGACGTGGGTAAAAATACTTTAGTCTTCCCAGACCCCGCCCAAATGCACACTAGCTGCCTTCTGATTGGTTGTTCCTGAGCCCCGTAGCCTTTGTACAAGGTTACGAGGGTGTTCCGCAATGTTGTTGATATCGCACGTTGAATGTTTAAGCACGCTAGCGCTTTTTAACACTCCCCCCCCCCCCCCGCCCTAGAGAGTGCTGCAGCCTATGTCACAGGCATTCTCTTTCTCGAAATGAAACGTAATTGACATCACAGACACCAAACAACAGAGCGCGACACACTCGTAATCTTCATTAAAGTGGACCAGCCCAAAAAAACTTGTGAATGGAAACTGACCTACTCTATTTGAGGCGACTAACGTCAAACTAACTGTAACGTTTGTAAAATCAGTGTGTTAAGGAAACGGTAAACGGCTCGATCACGTGACAACAGACGCCTTTAACTTATGTCTATTATCTATAATGCTCCGTCAGGCTTGTGTTGCCAGTGTGGGATCAATCCGCATTCCGTAGTTTATGTGGTCAACTCCATAACATTCCAGGATTTTTCCTGATATCCATTCGAAGCTGGATCGACCAAGGAGAGTATTTTCACTCACTTCTGTTTTCCAAGCATGAAATCTCTACCCTCCTCTTCTCTCTCTCTCTCTCTCTCTCTCTCTCTCTCTCTCTCTCTCTCTCTCTCTCTCTCTTCTCTCTCTCTCCTCCTCTCTTTTTTCTATCTATCTATCTATCTATCTATCTATCTATCTATCTATCTATCTATCTATCTATCTATCTATCTATCTATCTATCTATCTATCTATCTATCTATCTATCTATCTATCTATCTATCTATCTATCTATCTATCTATCTATCTATCTATCTATCTCTCTCTCCCTCTCTTTTTCTATCTATCTATCTGTCTATCTATCTATCTATCTATCTATCTATCTATCTATCTATCTATCTATCTATCTATCTATCTATCTATCTATCTATCTATCTATCTATCTATCTATCTATCTATCTATCTATCTATCTATCTATCTATCTATCTATCTATCTATCTATCTATCTATCTATCTATCTATCTATCTATCTAATTTATCTATCTATCTATCTATCTATCTATCTATCTATCTATCTATCTATCTATCTATCTATCTATCTATCTATCTATCTATCTATCTATCTATCTATCTATCTATCTATCTATCTATCTATCTATCTATCTATCTATCTATCTATCTATCTATCTATCTATCTATCTATCTATCTATCTATCTATCTATCTATCTATCTATCTATCTATCTATCTACCTATCTATCTATCTATCCATCTATCTATCTATCTATCTATCTATATATCTATCTATCTATCTATCTATCTATCTATCTATCTATCTATCTATCTATCTATCTATCTATCTATCTATCTATCTATCTATCTATCTATCTATCTATCTATCTATCTATCTATCTATCTATCTATCTATCTATCTATCTATCTATCTGTCTATCTATCTATCTGTCTATCTGTCTATCTGTCTATCTGTCTATCTATCTATCTATCTATCTATCTATCTATCTATCTATCTATCTATCTATCTATCTATCTATCTATCTATCTATCTATCTATCTATCTATCTATCTATCTATCTATCTATCTATCTATCTATCTATCTATCTATCTATCTATCTATCTATCTATCTATCTATCTATCTACCTACCTACCTACCTGTCTGCCTGCCTGTCTGTCTGTCTGTCTGTCTGTCTGTCTGTCTGTCTGTCTGTCTGTCTGTCTGTCTGTCTGTCTGTCTGTCTGTCTGTCTGTCTGTCTGTCTGTCTGTCTGTCTGTCTGTCTGTTTGTCTGTCTGTCTGTCTGTCTCTTTCTCTCATACTCTGTCATTATCATTTGCCCCAGTAAGTTGTGAATGAAATAAAGTATCATTGTTTGGTGCTTGTTTTTTAATAGGTCGATTTCCGTCACTCGTTTAACCGTCAGTTTCTGTTATCCACCAACGTCTAAAAAAGGAGAGGGGAGGGGTGGGATGAGTTCTTATCCAAAAACCTACAACTAGTTACTTGGAAGCAGAAACAATATTATCAAAGTTCATTGACTGGTTTGAAATTCAGGAGGGGGCAAAAGCCACTTAGATCCTACTTCTGCGTAAGATACGCAACATCGCCGCGCAGAAAGTTCGAACCACAAAGATACAACATCGGTTTGTATATTACAATACATTTGTGTACAACACTACACTTATACTAAGCGACTCGTAATTCCAACGTACCGCGATCGAAACCCACTGCTGGCTGCGTGGATTATTACCGAGGCACAGGGGCGTCGCAGGTCGACCCAGCCTAAAATGGGTTCCAGGATGTATGTCCTGAGGAAGTAAAGACGGCCGGCGTAATGCTGACCACATTATCCATCGTGTTCCGTTTGGTCTAGTCGCTGTGGCCAGCGAGTAGACGCTCGTCACGGATCGGAAGATCGTGGGTTCGCTCCCTGGCGGAGCCGGACTTTCTTCAAAAGTGACCTTCGCTCCCAGGTCGACCTAGCCTTGAGTGGGTACCGGGTGCAGTCCCGGGAAGTAAAGGAAGTCGGCTGACCCATCTGTGCAGATTGGTCTATAAAAATATATGTTTAGCCCTATATGCCCTATACGCCTAAAGGCGTGGAAAAGGGTCCTTTACCTTTTTTCTTACTTCTGTTTAGTCTGTAAATATATAGGTGCTATTCACATATACACGATGCGCCTAAAGGTGTGAAAAGGGTTCTTTACTGAAGTCTATATTGATCCATTTGTAAGATTAAACACAATATGTATGTATTTTATTAAGTGCCTTATTCACTTTCAAAGGATATTTATTGTCATTTTCACAGCTCTTGTCCAGACGGAGACGTTTAATGAAGTTCTCCTGTATATCTTTTTTGATCATGTCCCTCCAAGTTACAGTTAGAAACACCCTTTAGAATTTCTGATAAAATGCTATAGTTTGGGGGTTTTTTCCGTAACTAAATGTGACATTTAAAAATATAATGTTGGCAGGAACGTCTTGAACAACGGTCTTTATGTAACAAGCGAGTCGTGCTTCGTCAGCATTACCTGTGACAGTTATCCAATATTTTGCTGTCGATTGTTGCATATGTCACATATTTGAGCTGTCATCATCATCTTCAGTTTCCGCTGTTAAGCCGTCAGTCGGCGTTGGGAGGACCTGTTAACGGTCCATTCCTTGAGGTGTATCACAGGCTTTTGTCTTTGCGTACTAATGTAGATGTCTTTAATGTCATCAGTCCATGTTCTTCTTAGGCGCTCTCTCGCTTTCACATCCGATTGTTTTTCAGGGTGGTGCCTCTGTTAGCAGTTCGGTGCCTCTGTTAGCAGTTCGGTGCCTCTGTTAGCAGTTCTCATAGTGCATGGTAAGTAACGCAAAGAATTTGTTTCCAAGCCTTCGTGCGTATTGGATGAGGCACCTGGGTGTAACCAGGCGGTCTGGCCGGTTCACTACAGTGAGTGGAAGAGCAAGACGGTCTTATAACCAGATTACGACTGGTACCATTAGTATTAGAACTCTGCGCTGGCTGCTGAAGATGAGGACAGGGCATGCATGGGAATGCCCCGAGTGTTGTGATGTCAATTTTTGACTCAACTCAATTCAACTGAGCATATTAGGTAACTAGGGCCAGACCTATATTTTTTAAACCAATCGGCACTTGATGGTCGATGTGGTCAGCATGATGTCAGCCGCCTTTACTTCCCAGGACTGTACCTGGTAGCCAAGGTCATTTTTTTGTTTAATTAGGTACCTGTCAGGACCCGAAAATACGACCTTCCAATAGGCAGGCGAGTGTCTAGCCGCTAGACCACGGCGCTTCCCAAATGCAAGGCGTCGTTTCTCAAAACTGTCTGAAAGATCGTTTTACTCTGTCTATAATAGCGGCTTCTCCTGGGGCGTCCCATTTCGTTATTTTTTTTTTTTTTTTTATCTGGGCTTTTTCATTCAATAATCTATTGTCTTACGGCCGTTATCTTTTACTTCTCAGCATTTCATGACACCCATGTCTTGGGGAAAGCTAACATGGACATCAATCGCCTGCACACGTCAGATGTTTCGGTCACAAGGTGCATTATCGCAGCCATATTGTAAACGGAAAGCGTGTGTTTATGTCTCCAGACGAACACAGTAGAAAGTGAAGTTACCCATGTTTGGTTGTGACGACCTAGAAACCCATGTTTGGTTGTGACGACATAGGAACCCATGATTGGTTGTGACCATCTAGGAACTCATGTTTGGTTGTGACAACCTAGACGCCCATGATTGGTTGTGACGATCTAAAAACCCATGTTTGGTTGTGACGACCTAGAAACCCATCGTTGGTTGTTACTACTTAGAAGCCTATGTTTGGTTGTGACGACATAGGAACCCATGTTTGGTTGTGACGACATAGGAACCCATGTTTGGTTGTGACCATCTAGGAACCCATGTTTGGTTGTGACAACCTAGAAGCCCATGATTGGTTGTGACGACCTAAAAACCCATGTTTGGTTGTGGCGACCTAGAAATCTATGTTTGGTTGTTACTACCTAGAAGCCTATGTTTGGTTGTGACGACATAGGAACCCATGATTGGTTGTGACCATCTAGGAACTCATGTTTGGTTGTGACAACCTAGACGCCCATGATTGGTTGTGACGACCTAAAAACCCATGTTTGGTTGTGACGACCTAGAAACCCATGGTTGGTTGTTACTACCTAGAAGCCTATGTTTGGTTGTGACGACATAGGAACCCATGTTTGGTTGTGACCATCTAGGAACCCATGTTTGGTTGTGACAACCTAGAAGCCCATGATTGGTTGTGACGACCTAAAAACCCATGTTTGGTTGTGGCGACCTAGAAATCTATGTTTGGTTGTTACTACCTAGAAGCCTATGTTTAATTGTGACGACTTAGGAACCCATGTTTGGTTTTGACGACCTAGGAACCCATGTTTGATTGTGATCATCCAGGAACTCGTGTTTGGTTGTGACGATCTAGAAACCCATGTTTGGTTGTGATGACCTAGAAGCCCATGTTTGGTTGTGACAATCTAGGAAACCTTGTTTTGTTGTGACGACCTAGAAACCCTTGTTTGGTTGTGACGACCTAGAAGCCCATGTTTTGTTATGACCACCTAGGAACTCATGTTTGGTTGTGACGACCTAAAAACCCATGTTTGGTTGTGACGACCTAGAAACCCATGTTTGGTTTTTACTAAACAGAAGCCTATGTTTGGTTGTGACGACATAGGAACCCATGTTTGGTTGTGACGACATAGGAACCCATGTTTGGTTGTGACGACCTAGAAACCCATGTTTGGTTTTTACTACCCAGAAGCCTATGTTTGGTTGTGACGACATAGGAACCCATGTTTGGTTGTGACGACATAGGAACCCATGATTGGTTGTGACAACCTAAAAACCCATGTTTGGTTGTGACGACCTAGAAACCCATCGTTGGTTGTTACTACCTAGAAGCCTATGTTTGGTTGTGACGACATAGGAACCCATGTTTGGTTGTGACGACGTAGGAACCCATGTTTGGTTGTGACCATCTAGGAACCCATGTTTGGTTGTGACAACCTAGAAGCCCATGATTGGTTGTGACGACCTAAAAACCCATGTTTGGTTGTGGCGACCTAGAAATCCATGTTAGGTTGTTACTACCTAGAAGCCTATGTTTAATTGTGACGACTTAAGAACCCATGTTTTGTTGTGACGACCTAGGAACCCATGTTTGATTGTGACCATCTAGGAACTCGTGTTTGGTTGTGACGATCTAGAAACCCATGTTTGGTTGTGATGACCTAGAAGCCCATGTTTGGTTGTGACAATCTAGGAAACCTTGTTTTGTTGTGACGACCTAGAAACCCTTGTTTGGTTGTGACGACCTAGAAGCCCATGTTTTGTTATGACCACCTAGGAACTCATGTTTGGTTGTGACGACCTAAAAACCCATGTTTGGTTGTGACGACCTAGAAACCCATGTTTGGTTTTTACTAAACAGAAGCCTATGTTTGGTTGTGACGACATAGGAACCCATGTTTGGTTGTGACGACATAGGAACCCATGTTTGGTTGTGACGACCTAGAAACCCATGTTTGGTTTTTACTACCCAGAAGCCTATGTTTGGTTGTGACGACATAGGAACCCATGTTTGGTTGTGACGACATAGGAACCCATGATTGGTTGTGACAACCTAAAAACCCATGTTTGGTTGTGACGACCTAGAAACCCATCGTTGGTTGTTACTACCTAGAAGCCTATGTTTGGTTGTGACGACATAGGAACCCATGTTTGGTTGTGACGACGTAGGAACCCATGTTTGGTTGTGACCATCTAGGAACCCATGTTTGGTTGTGACAACCTAGAAGCCCATGATTGGTTGTGACGACCTAAAAACCCATGTTTGGTTGTGGCGACCTAGAAATCCATGTTAGGTTGTTACTACCTAGAAGCCTATGTTTAATTGTGACGACTTAAGAACCCATGTTTTGTTGTGACGACCTAGGAACCCATGTTTGATTGTGACCATCTAGGAACTCGTGTTTGGTTGTGACGATCTAGAAACCCAAGTTTGGTTGTGATGACCTAGAAGCCCATGTTTGGTTGTGACAATCTAGGAAACCTTGTTTTGTTGTGACGACCTAGAAACCCTTGTTTAGTTGTGACGACCTAGAAGCCCATGTTTTGTTGTGACCACCTAGGAACTCATGTTTGGTTGTGACGACCTAGAAGCTCATGTTTTGTTGTGACCACCTAGAAACTCATGTTTGGTTGTGACGACCTAGAAGCCCATGTTTTGTTGTGACCACCTAGGAACTCATGTTTGGTTGTGACCACCTAGAAGCCCATGTTTTGTTGTGACCACCTAGGAACTCATGTTTGGTTGTGACTACCTAGGAGCCCATGTTTGGCTGTGACCACCACGAAACCCATGTTTGGTTGTGACGACTTAGAAACCCATGTATGGATTAGAAGGTAGTAGGTTCGGTTCCTGACGGAAGTCAAAAATTACCTTGGCTCCCAGGTCGAACTTTAAATGGGTATCAGGTAAAATCCTTGGAAGTAAAGGCGGCCGGTGCTATACTGACCACATCAACTACCAAGTGTCGATTGGTATATAAAATATAGGTCTAGCCCTATATACCCAATAGACCTAAAGAATTGGAAAGGGTCTTTTACTTTACTTAGTTTTCGATTGCGGATTTGAAACTGTTGCTTCAGTATCTGTTATCATTATTTTTCATCATAATTTTTTTTTCTGTCTTCTATTGCCGCCAAGATGGAATTCATTAGAGAACAACAAATGAGATAGTTTAGCGACCTGACGAGAGGGCCTTTAAAAACATAAGATAATTTTGTTTAATTTTCAACGGAAAACGAAAGCTGATGGCGAGTGACTGAATTAGTCAGCTAACTGTCCTTGGCTCCCAGGTCGACCCAGCCTTGAGTGGGTACCGGGTGCAGTCCCGGAAAGTAGAGGCGGCCGGCGTGATGCGGACCACATCACCCACCAAGTGCCGTTGGTCTATAAAATATAGGTCTAGCCCTATATGCCCTATACGCCTAAAGGCGTGGAAAAGGGTCCTTTATTTTACTTTTTACCATCTGTTACTTTGTATATAAAAGATAAACTATATAATGTACATCTGTCGATAAAAAATTTCCATCTGCTCAGTTCCGGGTTTTAGGTAAATAGTAAGTAAAGGACCATTTTCCACGCCTTTGAGGCGCATTGGGCATATAGGGCTAGACCTATATTTTTATAGAGCTATCGGCACTTGTTGTGTGATGTGGTCAGCATTACGCGGGCCGCCTTTACTCTCAAAAAGGAAGCAACGAGGAAAAAATATCACATGATACCCTTTCTAGTGTCATTACTACCGGTAACGCTTTCACGTGCAAATTGATCCGGTCACGATCCATAGACTGGAACGCGTCCACCAGACGCTTAAATGAGAGCTTGGACGTTTACTATTTAAATCCTTATGTCGTAGTCACACTTTAGGCTAGGTCGACATGACAGCCCCAGCATACTTTTTGGAAAAGCCTAGTATTGGTAGGGCAGCCGCGCCTAGGCGGTCGCTTCCGATTCTGAAGGTCATGTGTTCAAATCTGAACCGAGCCGGACTTCGTTTTTTTTGGGGCGGGGGGGGGGGATGACTTTAGCTCCCAGGTCGACCCAGGCTTTAATCGGTACCAGGAAAAGACCTTGGAAGTAAATTCGGCCAGCGTGATGTTGACCCCCCATCACATACGATTACCAATTGGTCTATAAAATACAGATGTAACACCATATGCCCAAAACGCCCTAATGCTTGGAAAAGGGCCCTTTAGTTTGGATTCGAAACTAAGATCAGGTAGTCCACAAGTAGTCGTGCCAGCATCCCGTGTGGGTTCTATTGCTGGAACAACAAGAATAGACCCACTGCCCCCCCCCTAACAAGCATGTCGTAAAAGTCGACTAATTAGGGGTGCTTCCTTTGAAGTCGAAGTGCATCTGTCTGACAGACAAGGGATCAACAGTCTGCCTACAAATTAACCAGATCTACGAAACGTGTGGACGCAACGCTCAAGTTCTGGAACAAGATTATGGTCCAGACATGGTCAAACAACCATCTTTCCGCTGAAGTTCACAGCCGATGAGCAAGAAGAATCGTGTTAACTATGACACAAACGCGTCATCCATTTTGGAAATAACCCACACTAATCAATCCCTGACCAGTTAAATGAGGACATCCGGTAGCCCGACAAACCACCTTACCTTACTACACACAGAAAAAATACACACACTACATAGTGAGCACACCTCGCCAACTGCAATGTTGCCGTGCCGAACTAGGAAAAATAAACAAATAGCATGTTCGTCTGTCTAAACACAGTCATCAACAGACTGCTCGGGTCAGGCCACTGTTAGCTGAATGGCCATGGACGGTACAATTTGTAACTTCATACCCTCAACACCCTTGTGCTAAATGCCAGATTCTATTGGTCTGCAAGTGTTTTTTACAGGACTGCATCGACCTCTTTTAATTTCACACTTCACCCTTCACGTGATATCTTCTGAGGATATTTTTATATAAAAATAGCATTGTTTATGTAAATGCTACTTGTTTACAAATTGCTACAAAGAGGCGGACATGATGGTACACGTCACAGTGGATGAGTTGAAGAGGAGAGGAGGCGACGCAATGACCTTCCCTTTTCTAAAATAATGTCAGGGATGGGGGTATCCGCTTACAAAATCTACGTGTGCAGTTTAATGATCACTTGTATTTTCTGACGTCCAAATTGGACCTGCTGACAGAGTCGGAGCAAACGCGGGATGACAGAGAACTTCTATTACACCGTTTTTGAAAATTGGCGCCTCGTTCTAGTTTCAGGGTCAACGCTACAAAGTGGTCGTTGTACGGTTAGACTCGTGAGCCCTTTTATAATTTTCTAGAGGGCGATTCCGATAATTTAATTTGTACCGCCAATAAATATAAAAATACACATGTGTATTTTCCTATCTTAAGTAATACGAAAAGCCCTAGCCCTCCTAAAAACACTTGGGGCGGGGCGGTCTTCAAGGGACTTGAGCCTCCAAGTTACAGCGCCGCTGGACTTGTTTATACTCTTTCCCTTCCCAGTCTTCGAACTTAGCTACGCCTCTGCCTTGTGGCGGTAACGAGAGTGGGATTTGTTCAGGGTTTGGACGTTCCAAAGAAAGATGAAGACTGTCACGGTTCATCACGACTTTTGCTAAACAACTGACATATCCAATAGCAGTTGTCTGTTAGAATAGTACAGAATTAAAATTTACAGATTGGCTGATATTTTTTTTTTTTTTCAGCAACGAGCGCCGACAGAAGAGAATTTAAGAGAGAACGGGTGGAACTCAACCCCTTGAATATGGGAAGGGGTCGCCTCTCGGGGGTTTTAAGCCTTGTTTAATTGCATAATAATTACTTTTTAAACCCAGTCAATACCAAGGAACTCACTATGGGTTTTTTTCCTTTAAAGACTCCTTTTAGGAGATGTTTTCATGAATGTATTTCGCGTGATTCAGTTGTAATATAAAGCTGATCTATACCAGTTGTTGCTCCAGCTCTCACTGCCCATGGTGGTATTATCTTAACCTCTTCAAGACCAAGCAGTTAGTATTTTAAAGCAAACAGAGAGTAGATAAAGCTGGAGGGGAAAGGGGGAGCCTGTGACAGAAAGTGTTTGAGTGTGCATGGAAGTTTGAAAACGGAGTAACAAACTGTTTAAGTCTTGTTTAGACAAATTCTGTCATAGAAGTCACTCCGTATATGCCAACTTCACACATACAACTGAGTGTATCTCACACGCGCGTCCTTCAGTTTACTAGAGCCGTGGTGGTCAATGGCTATTGGCTCGGCCACGAGCTCGACAGTCTTGGGTTCGAATCCACATCGAGACCAGGGCTCCCAGACGACGAGGACAACAGTGAACGGCTCTACCGAGGACAGGCCCCACTCTTGCTGCGCCGATAGATCTATAAAAATGCGTGTATACACCAAATGCTCTATGTTTCATTGGCGCCATAGTGTCATATACCTAACTTTTCGATGTTGATTTTTGAATTGAAAATCGACATCACAGCCTCGAGATACTCCATTAGGCGCTCCGTCCCCATCTTCAGCAACAAGCGAAGAGTTCCAATTCCTGTTGCGCCGGTAATTGTTTGATTGTATATCCGCCTCGCCTTTCCCTTGAGTGTTGAACGTCGGTCAGATCCCCTGGTAACTCCTCGCAGCGCCATTCTACTAACCACAACAAAAGGAACTGTATGAAAGGGTCGCCGCATTAGGGAGGTTGAGAATCACTGGCATAATCACATATCACATGATTCTTGCTTAAATACTTTCACTCACTCCTCTCCTCACTAAATTTTTCAGATATATTTATTTGTGGTGTCAATGACAAGGACCGATGTCTGCAACGAACTGCTTAAGATACATAATGATGATGATAAAGGTAGTCAAGGGGGTGGTGCTGATGATGATGGTGATGATGATGATGATGATGATGATGGTAATGATGATGATGGTGGTGATGATGATGATGATGGTGATAATGATGATTATGATAGTGGTATTATTGATGATGATGATGGTGGTGGTGACGATGATGGAGATGATGATGATGGTGGTGGTAATGACTATAGGGGTGATGATGATGATGGTGGTAATGATAATGATGGTGGTGGTGATGATGATGATGATGATGATGAAGGTGGTAATGATGATGATGATGATGATGGTAGTGATGATGGTGATGATGATGGTGGTGAAAAAATGATGATGATGATGATGATAATGGTGAGGATGATAGTGGTGATAATGATGATGATGATGATGATAATGGTGAGGATGATGAGGTGGTGATGATGATGATGATGGTAATGATACTGATGCTGATGATGATGATGGTAATGATGATGATGATGATGAAGGTAATGATCATAAAGGTGAAAATGTTGATGGTGACGATAATCTTGATGGGGATGATAAAAGGGATGAGGAGGAGGACGGGATTGATGGTAATGATGATGAAGATGGTGATGGTGATGATCATGATGAAGGTTATGGTTATGGTAATGATGATAGAGGTGAATATGATGATGAAGGTGGTGCTGATAATGATGATAGAGGTGGTATGTTGATGAAGGTGGTGCTGATAATGATGATGATGTTGATCATGATGATGGTGGTGATAATAATAACGAAGGTGATGAGAATGATGAAGGTGATGATGACGATGATGATGATGATGAAAAGATAATCTATACATATAAACTTACTTACGAGACACAACACAGCAAGGGAGGTACTTACGTTAATTGACATTTTTTTGTCCCGGAAAGTGAGCGTGAAAAGGATGGAAAACATTCAGTGAATATTTGCACAAGCAACAGGGTACGTTTAAGTAACTGTTTTTTTTTTTTTTTTTTTCATATTCATGTATCGCAAAGAAAAACAAAACAAAACAAGCCCCCTTTTTTTTTCGTAATTTTTTTTTTTTTTTTAATCAAGAGCATGATTAGTAACAGGTTGCCTATGACTCATTTCAACAACTTACACTGCACGATTACTGAGTTACAGACTTTAAAAATTCTGCAAAACTTCTGAAACTGACTATAGCGACTGAGGACAGCGTCAACAAAACCTGGAACAGAGAACATAAATATTGTTTGTTAAGCAGTATGTTCCAGTCAACGTCGACCTCTTCTGCTTTGTTAATGTTGCTCTATACGGAGACAACTTAAGTCCCAGGCCTCTGCAAAAACCCTGTTAGCAAAACTGGCAGACTCTTTGCACATGGTACATAAAGAGTCAAACACACACATACAACAGGCTGTGTCGACTTATCGGCTATCCTTCGAATAACCGTAGGTAAAGATAGCAGCCGCAAAATATCCTTTCGAGCCACAGTCACTTGTCAACTGCGCACTTCCGGCGACTTAATTTGCTGTTCTCCAGCGGTTTTGCGGCGACTACCGCCACCGCCATGAGTCCCAATCGCCGCTCACGCTGCGTGGTTTGGGGCTAAACTAGATGGCTAGGACCCACGAGCAGCAGCTTCCGCATCTCCTGAAGCTTTGCTCGTGAGTCTTAGCCATCTATTTTAGCCCCAATCCACGCCTTACAAGTTCCACAGGATAAACTTAGCTTGGATGATGAAGTTAAAGCTTCAGATCGAAAATGACTCTGGTATGCTTTAGCTGTTCCAGTTTCTTTTAATACCGAATCAGGGAGCTGATAAGTGGAACAGCTTTTCCTACTTTTATCAGGCAAAATTTTATTGTCAAGATAGCATTTAAGAGGTCAAATTTCATCCTGTTTCTTAGGTTAGATTTCATAAATTCACTGCAAAAAATATCTAGAGAAATATCTACCATCTTAACGTCAAAAACGCCATCTAAACGCAAAGGAAAACATCTAAATCTGGATGTAAAACATCTAGAGTGGCAACACTGCACACAGCTCCAGTGCTTTCTCTATCTTCACCCGTCCATTATTCACTGTACGCATATATACGTCAGTTTATGAAACATCACATATTCAGCTGTTCGTAAAATTACCTACAAGTGAATTAGTAGCTTTGGAATTATTTTAATAATGCATGACACTTAATTTGGAATAGAAAGGGTTTGGATGAAAGTTGTTAATTATTTAGTAGCAAACTCACCTTATCCCGTCTTGTCGCTCCATATACTGTGAATTTTCGAGAAAACTGGAAAGAAAAAGATAATGCAAACGTAAACTGCTTAACTGTAATAATTGTTGTGGGAATACATCGCTGATAAGCGTGTTAATTATCTATTATTATTAGTATCATCATCATTATTATTTTCTCTTTCAGTTCCATAAGGGTTTCACATGAGTAGTGATTATGGAGTTTACGGAGCGCAAAAGGAGTTCGGCTTGCTATAAAACCTATATTGAAAAGATGCTTCTTCACTGCGTAGTCTGTGTTTGTCCGGTGTTTCCTGTTGGAGGTCGAACAGCAAATAGCTGTCGCGTCGTTAAATCTTTCTTGGATGTAGGAAACACGGTTGGGATACATCTGTTTGGCCAAGTTGGTAGTCTGCGAGCCCTCACGAGGTTTTTGAAAACTATCAAATAATGCATGTGTAGACTGATTGTTATTCGTTCTATTTTATTCCCAAACATGTTTTGCATAATATAAATAACGCTAGTGTTGCGATGGTAACAGCCTTTAGTAAACAGCTGGGTGGCTTTGTTGTCTTTCTCGACCATCTAATCGTCTATAACAACTCGACGTCACGTCATTGTTCCATATCTGGAAGGCCTTCGTTAAAGATTACACCCTCTATTTTCTCATATCAAACTATATAACTTTTAAAACGGCCTAAGTCCCACCCGCCTCCAATCAGTGCCGCCTTTGAAAAGTTCGGATCCTCAGCTTCGTCAGCACTCACCA